TTAAAAAGTAACGATGTTATAAACAAGGAGTTTTTAACTAACTGTATAATAGCACCTGGAACAAAGCCATAACTCTCGATGTACTAAAAATGCTTTCCATATTTCTTTCTATAAGTTAACTGAAAAATTATATGTATAGTAAAGTATCATATAGATATTAGTATTCCTTAACTAGTAGTCCTTGGAGCGAACACAGTATGGTTACAACAACTTATAAAGTAGGTTAATCGTACACCCTGTGTCTGGATAAATGACGTTGCTCAACAAAAAATATATATTTATTTGCATTCTATTACGAATTAACAATTATTCATCTTTGGAAAGAACAGAAAAAGTACCACCTGGTTGTTGTTTAGACTACTCTGATAAATACTCCGTTTCCTGCTTTAGCTTATCATTTATATATATATATATAAATACATTAACACGAGAGGCCTTTCTGTCCAAGCAGATGATAACTGTCCGGAAAGTACTGTAGTGTTTAAGGTACAGACTGTTTGTTGCTTAAGGTTTAAGCTTTCTCTGCCTTTTAATGACGCGATCAGGCTATTCAGTTTATCGCGTAATCTGTAGTAAGATAAGAATAGTGAAGCTTCAGTAACTTTAATGTATTTGGAATGTTTAAACGTTAGGCTAGATACCAGCAAATAGTTACTTTGATATCAGACTTGATCGACTTAACGTTGAACAACTGAACTTGGTATTGATAAGATCAGAGCCGCTGTGGTCCGTGTAACAAAGAAGTCTTAAGTACGACAAGGCTTTATGAAAATATTGGAGAGTTCACGTATTTTATAAACTTTAAATTGTATTATTTAGCAAGCACATTTATATATTGTTAAGTGGCTTCTTCGAGACTTGTGCTAACGCTTTTTTGTAGATTTCTTTTAACAAGTCAAATACTAATACTCTTCAGTACACTTTCTTCTGTTATTGTACGAATTCTATCTGAATCTTTTAAAGCTCTTTTGTATATCATATGTTATTTATATGAAAGCTGCCGTAGACTACAAAGTTATGGTGTTTTTATAGTAGCTTAGAAAAAAGAAGACGATGGATAATCATTAAGCCTAAACTTCAAATAAATGGAATGTGACAAAAGGTAAAGATTTTCTTATATAAAACGTATTTCTTTTGCCATAGATATTATTGTGTCAACAACACGAATTCTATACTAGTTACGAGTGAAACTTATCAGAGGTTATTTCAAGTATTAAACCTCATGGATATATCATGATCGGCTTTCACTAAAATTAAAAGTTTCAGAACGAGTTCTCCTTAAAATAAAACTCTAATAATTTAGTTTTAAGATCAATAAAGTTTGAATTTATTACCTTAAAGTCAGTAGATAATGTAAGACCTTGAGCTGTAAATCATGATTCAATGCGATTTCATTTCTCAATCACATTCTTCGTAAGTATAGGAGATGAGTTGTGCTGTACGTAACACGCAAGAACAGAACTGGAAAAGTTCGTTGATGAAGGCAATTTAAGCATGATGCATAATAGTTGTATACAGCTGTTATGCCCCAGAACGATTACCATTTCATGATCTTCTTTTCCATTTCAAAAAACAAATTATGGCGTATCAAACTTGCTCAATAAAGGAGAAAAAGAAATCAAACTTACAGGTCTGGGAATTTAATTGAAGAACTTATAGAATCCACATTATGAAGACATCTGGCTTACAGGTGATAAAATGAAACTCCATCACGCTTCTGGCCATTGGTGTGTAGTTCAAAGGCTACTGCATGCAGTATAATTTATATTGATGAAGACAAGTTTATGCAGTAATAATATCACACTTAAAATAGGAATTCATCGCCATTCGCTGTTATGTTAGGATAGCCACAAAGGAGTTTAGAGCAACAGCCCTCAACCTTCGACGCCCCTCCCTAGAATTACTTTCAGTACCTACTGAGTGCCCTCAGTCAATCTCTGTATGCTAGCTATCTATTACGTCCGAAACTAACACGCATCTTTGCATTCATTTATAAACAACAGGACCAGTAAGATTTCTTCTTGAACATCATGTTTAGTATTTATAATTATATCTCACCATGCTAGTTGTTAAAATGCTTACTATGAGGACAGTCACACTATCAAAGAGTAGAAGCTCATTCACAAGAGCATTTAGTCAGATTTGCCTGCCCTGACCATCACTTGATTAGTATCAGTGACGTCACTGGAATCGGTCGTTGTCACTGTCGTCAGCAAGCTTTAGAAAGGTAAAGTTACATTTTTTACTCTGTCGTCAGTGGGATATTTTGTTTTAAGAGCTGTTTTTTTATCCCAGCTGTACTTCCGTAGAACTGATGCCCTTCTTTCTGTCATTTAGAATCATTAAAACATGAAACGATAAAATATCTAATACGATTTTATAGTTATCTGTAGAAAAAATACGGTATCGATTATGAAATAGTTTTACACATTGCGTCAATGTCTAAGAGTAAGAAAATTTATAATTAAAGTTCATAATTTATTTATATATATCTTCCTTAACTTGAGACATTCGCCAGGATCCATTAAAAATTGGACAATCTGAACATGTGACTAAAAATACGAAAATACATTTATTGTAATCTCCTCTTTTCAAGCCAGGATCCGTTAAAAGTTGGACAATCTAAACATGTGACTAAACATGCAAATATACATTTATTGTAATCTTCTCTTTTCAAGCCAGGATCCATTAAAAGTTGGACAATCCAAACATGTGACTAAACATGCAAAAATACATTTATTGTAATCTTCTCTTTTCAAGCCAGGATCCATTAAAAGTTGGACAATCTAAACATGTGACTAAACATATGAAAATACATTTATTGTAATCTCCTCTTTTCAAGCCAGGATCCATTAAAAGTTGGAGAATCTAAACATGTAACTAAACATATGAAAATATATTTATTGTAAATCTCCTCTTTTCAAGCCAGGATTCATTAAAAGTCGGACAGTCTAAACATGTGACTAAACATATGAAAATACATTTATTGTAATCTCCTCTTTTCAAGCCAGGATCATTAAAAGTTGGACAATCTAAACATGTAACTAAATATACGAAAATACATTTATTGTAATCTCCTCTTTTCAAGCCAGGATCCATTAAAAGTCGAACAGTTTAAACATGTGACTAAGCATATGGAAATAGATTTATTGTAATCTCCTCTGTTCAAGCCAGAATCCATTAAAAGTCGAACAGTCTAAACATGTGACTAAGCATATGAAAATGCATTTATTCTAAACTCAACGAAGCACTGTTTTGTATTGAGAGTGAAATCAAGGTATTGTGCTCATTTAGCAGTTTAAGTAACAGTAAGTTTTCTTGGAAATGTGATGCAAATCACCGTTTTTTAACTATACATAAAATTATAGTTTAACAGGATTAATTCACTCAAATCATAAGAAAAGATAGCTGGTGAGAACATATAAATATACGTAAGATTTAAGACTTTTCTCGGGTATAGCTAAGTCTATTTAGTTTTACATGTAATAAATTTAATTTCATTTTAAATGATTTTATTAAGTAATGCTGCATGAGATACTTGCAAAATTATCGAACCAATGCTTCGAAAAATATGATGAGTGTTAAAAGATATCTATAAATTTTAATGAAATAGATTATAATTTATTACAGCTGTCACTCATAATTCAGAGGCCTCCTACTGACGAGCAGAGAATAAAAAACGAGTGTTTGGAAGAACAAGAACTGTTCATTTTTTTTAACAAGAAAAAAACTACATTTGCTTAATGACCCGTAGGGGGTTACTGAAAATTACTTATGATCAAGAGAGATATTTAACCATGCAGATGCTTTAGGCGCATTTATGTATTAAGTTGTGGATTCTTTATAACCACGTGTTTGAAATTTTAAAGAATTGTAACTAGAATTTTCTACCTGACAGTTTTATATATAAGCATCCTTGATGGCATAGACTTGGAGTAATAATTATCAAGTGGACAGGTCTTATTCTATGATGCATAATATAATCTTCACGTAGTTCAATGTTTTGCTTCTCAGCCCTCTTTGCACACAGACTGTTAATGACCCTCTGAATGTATAAATACGCTACACTCGAATTTTCACAGTATCAATCTTGTGCTTAAAAGGGCCATGTAGCTTAATTTGCAGTTTCGTTAACTTACAAAAGTCTCATGCTGCTTAACTTATAGTTTCATTAGTTTCCAAAAGTCTCACACTCTTTAATTTGTAGTTTCATTAATTCCCAAAAGGCTCATACTGTTTAACTTGTAGTTTCTTTAGCTTACAGAAGTCTCATGCAGTTTAATTTGAAGTTTCATTAGTTTCTAAAAGTTTCATTCTCTTTAATTTGTAGTTTCATTAATTTCAAAAAAGCTCATGTTGCTTGATTTGTAGTTTCTTTAGCTTACAGCAGTCTCACGCAGTTTAATTTATAGTTTCATTAGTTTCCAAAAGTCTCATTCTCTTTCATTAATTTCCAAAAGGCTCATGATGCTAAACTTGTAGTTTTTAGCTTCAGAAGTCTAATGTAGTTTAACTTGTATATATGTTCGCTAGTTTTTAAACTTTGAACTGAGAACGAAGGCAAATCTATATATAATTTTTTATCACTTTTTTAACCAGGTAAAATGTAAACTTACTTTATATATACTGTTGAAAATCCTGAGCTGTAATAATATTTACCTATTTAGCAATAATGCAAGCAGATGAGATTCGCTCAGAAGTAATCTATGCGGTAAAAACACCTACCACTAATGGTTTTGTCTGTTATTGTGTGAAAGGTAGAGAAAAAAACACGGACTGTTTATATACTTAATTCCTTTATCCTTACAACTCAGATCAGTGATACAAAAATATCCGAAGTTATGAGAGGTAAGGAATTTTAAGATTTAATAATTAATGCTGTATTCAACATTTGTCCGTTCATGAAATATTGATAATATTATTTTGTATCCAGTGTAAGTTTGGTTGTTGCTAAGATTTACAATATTCAAGAAATGACATCAACTTTTGTTTGAAATACACTTTATTGTTTCCAGAGGAAAACAATCACAATTTCAACACTGTACCAACAGACTTATAAGGAGTATGAAGAGCAAATGGAATCTTACTATAAAGTATATATTACTTATATTTTTAAGGCTCAGGCAGCTTCTCCAAACAATCTGGAATCAATGTTTCTGTTGATCATGAATGTAAAACCTAAAAAGCATTAAACTTCAATTAAGAAAAAAAATATGACAAAATGAATAACTTGATTCAAATTTATAATCAAACGAAATCACATTTTGCTTCTACTGAACTCTTTCTTATGGGCTCGTTAAAACTGTATAATTAAGAAATAACTAATAAATAAATATACAGATATACATATACTAGAATGCACAATTAAATTATCAATTCACAATTTATTGTTACATGTAATGATGTAAAATTAAGTGACCTGTTTACATACTTTTATTTATGTACTACGGTGAATGTGCTTAAACGGAGAGTTTGCATATTATTCAAATATTATACGTAATGACCAATATAATTAGTAAATATTATACGTAATGACCAATATTATTAGTAAATATTATACGTAATGACCAATATAATTAGTAAATTTACATAATACAAGGGCCTATGAAATAATATTGCACATTGTTGTCCAGTTAATTTATGAAACTTGATTATTCAAGAAGAAACACGCACATTCTTCACACGTTCTGGTTAATGTGCATAATGACCGGTAAATATACACATTCACCGTAATATATATATCATATACAATTAACATTTCATTATTTCATGAACAGTTTTTATAACATTGCTACATTCATACATTGCATAACTTCATGAACGGTTTTTATAACATTGCTACATTCATACATCCGACAACATATATATATATACACACATAACTTTAGAGATTTCAGATATCAGAGTTAATATACCTAATAAATCTAATCTGTATATTGAAAGTAACACACACACAAAACAACAATCCAAATATGATATGCTGTGTTTAATCGATCACTTTTACTGGTAGATTTTTTGTAACTAACTATACTGTTCCTTTTTAAGCCTACAATAGTTTAAAGTTTATATTGAAATCAAACATTTCTAAAATCTGAAAGTTCAATGTGATTGAACTCATTAAAGTAATACAAAATTGTAAATACGTATAAATTGACATTTGAATTGAATGAATCGATATGAGTGAATCTTCTTTGTATATCATATTCTACATATAGCACTAATACCGTTTTCTATAGAAGACTACTTAAAAATTGCAGCGGGTGGCTTTTATCATAGTTAAACATGCGTGTCAGATCGTTTGATTTTAAACAAAACTTAAATTTGTTTTTTTTAATTTTTCAATCAATGGTTACTTGAATTGTTATAATTAGAATTTCGGATCTTTTTCTACTTTGTCTTTAAATCTAGATTTATATGAAAAGTGTTCATAAACAGGAAAAAGAGCAACTACAAGAAGAGTCCTTAATAAAGTCACACGAGCATCATGTCTTTGTGTAAATGTAAGCATGTACATTCGTGTGTATGCTTAAGAACTGGTTGTTTCTTAATACATCTGTATATATATTTACTGTTGTTCAATGTGTTTTTGTTTTCAGTCTCTTACTTTGATCATACTATAATGTTGAAAAGTGTGTAGGAATAAGTTGTAATGCGACACGTAAATGAAATTTTTATTCAGTTAAATATCGTATTAACTGCAAATGTATTTTTCGTAAAATCAGCTTAAAACGTATATTAAAGTACATAAAAATTCCTTAATGATGTAGCGTATAGATAAATGTCAGGTCCCACCCGTGGCTCAACAACTTCGTTGTCGAATTTAATCTTTGCTACGTGCCGGGCCCGGCATGGCCAGGTGTTTAGGGCGCTCGACTTGCAATCTGCAGGTCGCGGCTTCGAATTCCCGTCACACCAAACATGCTCGCCCTTTCAGCCGTGGGACGTTATAATGTTACGGTCAATCCCACTATTCGTTGGTAAAAGAGTAGCCCAAGAGTTGGCGGTGGGTGGTGATGATTAGCTGTCTTCCCTCTAGTCTTACACTGTTAAATTAGGGAAGACTAGCGCAGATAGCCCTCGTGTAGCTTTGCACGAAATCCATAACAAACAAAGAAACAAGCTACATGCCGACGAAATTAATTGATAAATGATAAATATTTATGGAATATCATTTCGCCTCACGTAATTCAACATCGCGCGTTTTCCGTTATGAGTGATTTATCTGCGATGTCTATGTGTGCTTAACAGTTCCAAGGCTATATAATAAAGATGCCAAAATATTTACAATATTCATGACGCCTGCATTGATGTATCCCGTGAACAAACGTTTGTGTTTTCATAAAACATTAGATATGGCATTACGCAAGTTAAAATCCATCTGTCATGTCCTTAGAACTTATTGTACAGCAAATAATACTTGTTTGTTTGTTTGTTGTTAAGTGCAAAGCTACAAAATGGACTCTCTGTGCTATGTTCGCCACTGGTATTAAAACCCGGTTTTTAGCATTATAAGCTTTCGGACTTACAGCTGAGCCACTGGGGGGGGGGGGGCTAGAATTTTGGTAGATATCTTATTCAAACGATGCTAGTGAGGAGATGTCATGAGCTTTCGTTAATCCATGTGTAACAAGATTTCTTGATATATATAAAAACGAGGTTCATGCTAATTAAACTTTGTCTTAAAGTAACAGCAGCAAACGCTATATTAGCCCAGCTCTTTACTATACTGTGACGTTACTCATGAAGTGTACTAAATTTTTATCATTATAATAAAACAAGCTATACCAGCAGTTACTTTTCTCGATTCAGTTTCTTTTATTATTCAGCAGGGTATTAAGAAATGAAAGTTTTCTTGATAACTGTCTAGAAGAATTGGAATAGATATATGAGAAAAAGGAATTGAGGTAGACCGACGGTTTCATCTTGTAGATTATCTAGGTCATTAAAGAGGAAGTATATGATAGAAAGTTTTCTCCTTGATTCTTGGTTGAAAAATTGAATAATCCACATTCTTATCTTTATTGTAGGAAATCCGTACATTCGTAAAAACTTGTAACATCCTACATATACACATAAAACTAAATAAAAATATCAACAAATTATGTGACTAAATAATCCCTCTATTGAACCTACCGTTTTCACAATCGAAGCTCGAGAAAAAAGGGAAAAACACCTAAACAGAAATATTCCAATATTACATCTATCGAAAAAAACAACAAAAAAAACACACTAAACCGAAGTATTCCAATATTGAATATATCGAGAAGAGACAAAAACACTGAACAGAAGTATTCTAATATTAAATATCTCGAAAAAAGACAAAAACACTAAACAGATGTATTCCAATATTGAATATATGGAGATAAAAAAGAAAAAACACCTAAACAGAAGTATTCCAATATTAAATATGTCGAAAAAAAAGATAAAACCACTTAAACCGAAGTATTCCAGTATTAAATATGTCGAAAAAGACAAAAACACTAAACAGATGTATTCCAATATTGAATATATCGAGAAAAAAAGACAAAAACCACTGAACAGATGTATTCGAATATTGAATATATCGAGAAAAAAGACAAAAAACACTTAAACAGGAATATTCCTATATCAAATATGTCGAAAAAAGGCCAAAATACCTAAAAACAAGTATTCCAATATTAAATGTGTCGGAAAAAGGTAAAAACACCTAAACAGAAGTATTCCAATATTAAATATGTCAAAGATAAGTATTCAATGAGAAGTTTGTTAAACATAAAAACGCTCCTGCTCCTAGAAGTTACTTTTTGTACATTTTACATATAAAATAAAACACCGAAAACCTTTATCTTACAGACTTTTTTTATCTCTATGATTATATATTTTTCCTCCTCATTTCAAGGGGATTATTTTTAAATTTTTAAATGCCCATAACAAGAGCCAATAGACATGTAGATTTTTGCTTTCAGAAACACCATATGCATTTCAGCATTTTTTACAGTTGAAATAGTAAACTGTTATTATAACATAGCATAGTTTGAGGCTTAGTAATGAAACTAAATTTTCTGACCGTCTTCACTTATAGTTGCTTGTAGTTTTCCAAATTACTGTCTTCCCCAGGTTCAAATTGTTCGCTTTCTCTAAGAGCCAAATATTTTTTACTTTTTCTGTATCTTGTGTTAAGTATGGGACGTAAATCCAAATTATCTAAAATAAAAGAAACAAATAAAGATGAGTAAAGTAATTACCGTTTATAAAATAGTTTTCGTAGCTTAACAATATTTTAGTATTTCACGTGTTATTATTACAATATAAAACATCGACTAAATATTGTAACGACAGCCTTCTTATTTACACTTATATGTGTAATTTTAATAATCACGATAGAATTATTTATAAACACTTGTGCATTATTATTGCGATAACGTTATCATTTTTATGTGCAGAGATTCTGAAAGTTGACTGTTTTTAAGTTTACAGAGTTAATTAGAAGTACAAACAAATTGGTAACGCTTAGTTGTTTTTAAATTAGCGAATAGCAAGGATGTTCTACAACCCTAATTTAAGCAAGAATAGACAAGTTTTCCCTACCCCCCTTTGGTATGTCCTTTGAAAATACATAGGTTTATGTAATATCTGACTTAGCCGGTGCCATTATGTCTGAGTATGATTACTTGTGGTTCGCTGTATGTTTCTACTACATACTAATACACAAAGCGTGCAACGAAAAACAAAAAATAGCGACTGTTTATCCAAAGTTGATGCATAAAATGCAACTGACTGGGCCTATATGTCATTGAGATGTTTTATTTTAGTACCATATGTGTATCTTACACATACTCTATACACATATTCACTCTTGTCTGTGTGTGTGCAAGAAACAGAAAAACGCAGCTACTGCAGACCAATAACTTACTCTGAAACGCTCTTAGACAATAGAACGTGTACTGACAGACAGACTGGAGGTAGAGAATATCCAGTAGGAGAACCAGAAAACTCCGACTGCTCTACATTATCAAATAAAGTTGATATCAGCGGTCACTCTGTCTTATTGTCAACAGTATGATATATACATATATATATATGTTTGTACTGGTTCTACACTTTGTTCACACTAGATTTGCGCTTATTTTCTTCAGAAACATTTTGAAACAGTTTATCATCTAAGTCCCTGTTTCTTTCTAAAGTCTTTAAAACTTTGCAATTACATAATACCCTTCATGGAAAATTCATAACTTCAGTAAATACCTGTTTCTGGTGCTCAAAACTTTTGTACTTCCTGTTACCAAAGTCATCACGAAGAAATCATCATCCATAACTTCAGTAAATGACTGCAATCTTATGTGTTTTTTCTTAAAGATTTTACATTTCCTTTGCAAAAGAGTTTATTTATTTTATCTGTAATTTTACCTTTTATAAGGACTCGTTTCTTTTATTTTGAGTTGTTATCTTCGTGTTTTATAAGCGTACGTTTATATGGGCAACATTAATGCTCCATATAATACATGTGGCTCATTTTAACGTTTCTTATCCTGCGAATTTATCTCTTTATTTTCTGAATATCTTTTAATATTTTTATTGAACATAATGCTGGATGATTTTAAGCTTCACATGAAGTTTTAAAATGTAGAATAATAAATAAGGGATTTACTCTAGTATTAACCATTAATTATTTACTCTAGTATTAACCACCAATTACAGGATACATTTATTACGACTTCAGATAATTCGTGTTACTTTGTTAGTGATAAGATTTATTACTTTTTTTTGTATAATTTCACGCCTGCTGTAAGCACGATTGTCATACAGTTACAGCAGACGTTTAAAGGAAACGTTATTAGAAAACATTTTTTAAAGGTTTCTACTAAGAGATTATAACTAAATTTATGTACACCTAATAATGGTCTCGATTGATAAGCATTAATGCATAAATGTGTTATCAAAAGCCTTCAGATGTCGTGACAGGAGCGTCCTTTCACTATACTTTAGTCTCCCCATAGGCTTCTCCTGATGAGACACTTGGAAAGTTGAACCTACTGGAGAGTAAAATTAGTTGAGATATCGCTATCCAACTGTTACTAAAGTTTGAAGCTGTAGAAATTACGTGATGTTTCCACAGGCCCTAAATAATGCTCTTAAATATGGGTTTGAGTAAAAATAATGTTCACAGCAGACTGAGATCTTCCTGATAGCTTCATTATTCAGTTGAAAACACTTTCGTTATATAGAGAATGGTAATCAACGTTATGGTGTCATTAAGTTCAGTGTTTTGTCTTCTGAGCTTAAATATGCATACCTTTTTGTCATTTATAATATGTAATCTGACCAGATGTTTCGCTTTGTTAGGTATAGAGGTCATCTTGTCACTTGTTTCATGCTTTGTCTTGCTTAATCGGCCATCTATTTCCGTCTTAGCTACAGAATATTTATTTTACCTGACGTATTCTTGCGTTGATGATTCGCAGATAAACACCAAGCATCCAGGTAGTTCTCGTTCTATAACGAAGGAAATATTATACGTATATTTAGATGTTTATTTCTATAAAACTGTTATCTTAGGGATTTTATCAACATTTTTTGGTTAACTTAACAGATAATGGGCTATTCATGATTCATAAATTATTGACACTTTTACCTCACAATGATTGAAGAACAAGCTCGCATTTAGGAGAGCATTCGAAGGTCTTTAGACTCTATTCTTGCGTATAACTTGAAACAGAAACTGCTTATAATATACACTACTTTAGTTATAGCTTGAAACAAAAACTGTTTATAGCATAAACCATTCTTACGTATGGCTTGAAACAAAAACTG